GCCCTGGCTTTACAGAAATAGTAACCCATGTTCATTCATGGCTTCTTAACTCCAGGGCCATCACCTTTGGGCTGTTCCCCTTTCCCGTCCTTACTCTTTGCTTGCAGGTCACTTCCCCCCCAACCCTGTGGTACGGCTCACAGACTCAGCCGGGTTCCTTTCCCCACATGCACCACACCTGAGACCCCTCCTGTGTGTGGCGGTTTCTTCTTGGCCTCCCTCACCAGATGTGATGCTCCACAGGGACAGCGACAAGGCCTGTACACTGTAGGCACTCAACAGACTGGACTGAATAGCTTTATTGGTCATTTCAGCCCCACCCCCCGGGTCCCTTTGAGGCTAAGGCCAACAAATACTAAGAATTATAAGAGGTAACTGGGTACTCAGAGCCCTTACCAAGACTGACTAGAGAACACAGGAGCACTGAGAGGGAAGGGTCACCACAGTCTTCTAGCGGCAGAAAAACGTCCTTCTTCCTAGCACTTTTGCTGCCCAGTGCCTTAGAGTTCTGAACCGAAGAAAGTGCTCATGAGCAAAGGTAGAGACTGGCTCACAGTGGATGCAATATCCAAGAGTTTTGGAATTGGGGACTGGTGTGTCGTAGCAGTGAAGGGTATACACACAGAAGCCAAGTTCTTTGGTGATGAGCAGGGACCACCTACCACATAGCACACCTGTGCTCATGCTGGTGCTGGCCAGGGCAAGACTGTATGGGGGAAGTCAGCAATGGACCTTGGTAAGTGGAGACACTGAGAGGTACGTGAAGAAAAAAGAGGAGCCCTGGTGGCACAGTGGTTACACGTCAGGCTGTGATCCCCAAGGTCAGCAGTTTGAGACCACCAGCCTCTCTGAGGGAGAGTGATGGGGCTTTTTACTCCTGTAAAGCGTTACAGTCTTGGAAACTCACAGAGGAAGTCTATTCTCTCCCACAATGTCACCCTGTGTTGGCTTCGACTCAATGGCAGTGAGGTTAGTTTACTTTTTTATGGCAAATGCTGGAACATGGAGTTTGGTAACAGGAATAACAAGCAAAGACAACGTGTGAATGGTTACATAAATACAGGGGGGGGTGTCTATGGGAGTACATGCATACGGATAAGAACTGGAAACACAGGGAATCCAGGACAGATAAACCCCTCAGGACCAATAATGAGAGCAGCGATACCAGGAGGGTAAGAAAATGCTTTGAGAATGATGATGGCAACAAATGTACAAATGTGCCTCACACAATGGATGGATGTATGGATTATGATAAGAGTTGTATGAGCCCCCAATAAAATGATTAAAAAACAAAAAGGAAGACATGCATGAATATGCATGGGTGTATCTGTGGACATCTATCTGCTTGTGTACATGTGTGGACGTGGTAACAGAATGGCATATGCAATGAAGCACAGAGAGGTGTGGTTGTGGATACTTCCTAGGCCTCTCCTCACCCTCACAGGATTGATTGATTGGGTTTGAAGACTCAGGACCATAGTCTCCTGGACGACTAGGTCAGCTAGCATAACTTAGTTCCCAAACACAGGGCGAATCTGCTGCCAGGGCCTGTCCAAGTGTAAAAGCCAAAGGAGTCATCGAAAGACTAAGATGCATCTGAGCCAAGCCAGGGTATTTTCAATCATCCCCATGCACATGAAAGCTAGACACTGACTCAAGTATCAGTAAAAGGTATTAAGATAACGTGGACTGACAGAAGAATGAACAACTCTGTCTTGGAAGAAGTACAGCTTCAGAAAGCTCCTTAAAAGCAAGGTGATGGGCCTTTGCTTCATTTGTTTGCATGTCACCAGGAGGAACCAGTCCCTGGGGAAGAAAATCATGCTTGGTCATACAGCAGGTCAGAGAAAAAGAAGACGACCATCAAGAAGATGGGCTGAAAGCTATGAAGAATCGCAAGGGTGGCAGTGGATAACGTTTTGTTTGGTTGTTCATATGGACCAGAATCGACTTGATGGTCCTTAATAACAATCACTGAAATTCATAAAGATAAAGCTCTCAATCCTAGTCTGGTGAGGAGCATCTGAGGTCTTCAAAGTGTGAGGGTGGCCATCTGTGACATAATCATTGCTCTCTTCTTGTCTACAGCACAGGAGAGGAAAGGGCTTAAGACTCAAGGAAGCAATTAATCCACAGGACCAGCCATCCACAAACACCACAGTCTCAGCTACCCTGAGACCAGAAGAACTAGATGGTGCCCAAAAACCCCTACTAACACTTCTGACCAAGGACACAATTGAAGGTCCTGTTTAGAATGAGAGAAAATTAAGGTGCAAAATTCAAGTTCCTAAAGAAGGCTGGATTCTGAAACGACTAAGAGACTAGAGGAAGCCCCCAAACCATTGACCTAAGATACACCTTAACTTAGAATTGAAGCCACTCCCAGGAGTCACCTTTTAGCCAAATAACAGATTGGCCTATGAGATATAAGGTAACTCCTGTGAGGGCTGTGAGCTGATAAACAATCAGGTCTATGAGCCCAAACAGCCAACATCTGCCCAAAAGCAGGGATGAGATGGTGATGAGGGGCAGGGCCACAGGAGGGAGGCGAGCAGGGCAGTTGGGGTGGAAAGGAGAGAGGGTTGACACATTGTATGGACTGTGACCAGTGCTGTGGAGCAATATGTCTACCTATGGCTGAATGAGGAAATAAGCTGCCAACTCCCACCTCTAGTACAGTAAGATATCTGAAAACATCCGTATGGGAATATTCGATTTGGGCTCCTCATACTTCTGCTAAGAAACCTAAAGCATTTAGAGTGCATGGATCTCAGCCGACTCATCTCTACAATAGGGAACACCTAGACCTTACCTCAGGGGGCTTTCTGCAGACAAGGAGCAAAGAATTCAACGGCACAGAGCTCTCTCAACAATGATGTTGTATGAGCTATGGATCACACTTGAAAAACTATCTATACATGATCAAATGGACAACAGCAACTCAAAAGATGTGACAGTAGCCCTAAGGAGCTATGAGTTGAAGGTCAACAAGGGAGTGGAGTTGGGAGTGGAATGTAATCACTGCTATTGCATTATATACCTCAATGAATTGGTGTATGTTCTCAACAGCACCATATCTATATTCTTAGTATTGTGTATAGAATGCTGAGCATCATCTGGGCCAAGTCTCAGCCTTCAGCTGAAGAACCACCTCCACTTCCCAGGACAGTCTCTTCCAGAAGAGGAAGCAGCGGCTCATCACAGAGCCATCTGCTTCCATGCCCCCGATGGACAGGGACTGGAGAAGCCCATCCCGTCAGCTGCATATGCACCTTGAGAAGAATGGCCACTTCTTCCTTGGCTCCAAGAGCCTCACATTCCTCACACACTGGCCCAATGGCCTCATTTTCAGCGCTGAATGTGGCGCGCGCCCTATTTTCCCACCGGCTCCCAGACTTCTCTCCGGGTTCCTGGACCAGGGACACCAGGTTGGCAGCATCTTCACAGTGAGGCGGCCCCGCGGAGCCCCTCTACTGAGGGTCTCTCCCCTCACACTGTCAGAGGCTTTCCACTAAGCTAGAGCACACGTGCTCACGTGCCCCCCCTTGTTTCCAGAGCCCACGGGGCCCAGCCCACTCCTGGCCCTTCTCCTGATGGCAGGGCGAAAGCAAGGTGGCAGACACACAGAGGACACGGGCTCTGTGGACGTTGGTGCGCCGCAGGGTCAGGCGGTGGGGTGACAGAGCCTGTATAACGGCATCAGTGGGATCCCAAAGGCAAGCTCCCGATTCCTCCCGATCTGCCGGGAGCGCACCCACACGCAGATCAGTGTTCACACTCCTGGCCCAGGAGTAGGTGTGAAGGACGGGGTACCGGGGAGATGGCACATGCATGGAAAATGAGGGGCCCGGCTGGAAGACAATGGAATGACAAGGAGTGGATATGTGGGGGCTTGGGCTGGGGAAGGAGGAAAAGGACAAATCCATTCCAGATGTCACAGTGGCTGGTATTTATGATATTATAACACACTGCATTCTGTGTAACATTGTCACTGCACATTTAAAACAAACACCTCCTTAAGAAGATAAAGTTTTGATCTTGAGAAAGCATAGATTGACAGTCCAGATTGACCTGGATTGACAGTCTAGGCTGATGGTCAGAGCATTTTGGAGTGCTACAGACCCCAGTGTGAATCTCAAATCCATCAATACTCTGTGTGACTCTGGGGAAATTACCTAACCTGTCTGTTTCCTCATTAACCAGATAGTACCAACTCTCATATCATTTTTGAGAATAGAACAGGATCATCAGTTAAACAGCTTGCACAGCATCAGGCTCAGTAAATGCTACTTTGTTTTAACACTTTACTCCATGCAGAGATCTTCCCCTTTAGCTCCAGTATTCCTGCCAATCTGGGGTCTTGAGCAGCAGTAAAGTGTCAGTTCTAAAAATATCTACATGTTGGAAGGAGCTCTGGTGGCATAGTGGTTACAGGTTGGGCTGCGTTCGGTATGTTCGGCTGTTCGAAACCACCAGCAGCTCTGCAAGAGAAAGACTGGGCTTTCTACTCCCATAAGCAGTTACTATCTCAGAAACCCACAGGGGTTCCTACATGTCTGCAGTGACTCGATGGTAGTGTGCTGTTGTTGTTGTTGTTTGTATGGGTCAATAAACTAAAACCAAACTCACTACCATCAGGTCTATTTCAGACTCACAGTGACCCCACAGGACAGAGTAGAACTGCCCCTGTGGATTTCCAAGCCAGGAAAGTTTCATGGGAGTAGAAAGCCTCCTCTTTCTCCCTCTGAGCTGCTGGTGGTTTCAAAATACTGATCTTGTGGTTAGCACCAGGGCTCCTGATTTGTGCTAGGGGACCCCTTTTTCCTTGTTTGAGAGGCTGCCTGGCTCTACCCCTCCCAGGTCCGTCTTTGCACAGGGTGCCTGTGTGGCAGGTGAGAGATCAGGGGAAGGAGAGAAGACGGCTGGAGAAGTCAGCCCTGGGCACGAGACGCAGTTCAAGGGTCACACTCACCGAGACACAGTTCAAGGGTCACACTCACCGAGTCCGGGTCTCGCTGCTGCTCCAGGAAGGCTGAGAACTCCACCAGGCGAAGCTTGGTTGTGCCGATGGAGCGGCCCTGCCAGGCAGGGACCAAGGGTGCTGGGGCGGATGCAGGCTCAAACCCTGAAAGACCAATCCGGACTTTAATCTCGGCTACTCTCCCCTGCCCTCGGGCTAATAGTCGGGCAAGATGCTTCACAAAACTGGGGACTTAGGAGGAAAGGCCACTCACTAGCTAGGTGTGGAACTAAGTCTTCAACTGGTGGAATTCTGACTCCAGGCAGTGAACAGCCTCGGGAGCAGACCCCAGGAGCCAACTCCAGCTAAGGCCAGGACTGTGGCAGGGCCTGATCACAAACCGAAGTAACTGCCTGGGCAGGACAGCAGGAACAAGAGGACCCCTGGCTCTGAAACAAGTCCCTCAGGGTGGTACAGGCTGAAGCAAATGCTTCCAGAGGTTTCTTAGGAGAGCCCAACATGCTGGGCATTCCTCGTCTGTCATTTCCTTTCTCGTGACGGTGGGATATGCTATCCAAATGCACTGTGGGAGAGGAACAGAGGACAACGTGGAACTGAGCTTTCTGTTGGAGGACTCCCTATGTTTGTTCTACTGAGCCCCTCTGTGGACACAGGTCAGCATGGGAGGGGAGAGCATGTGGTGGGGAGGAAGACAGGGAGAGAGACAGAGGCAGAGGTGGGCTGGCCAGGGTCCTGCCTCCTGGTTTCAGCTTCCACGGCAGCTCTCCTTTAAAAGGCCAAGCACCAGAAATCAAACTATAATAGTCTTAGAACCTGCCCTTAAAGACTTGGGGTCAGACTTAGGCAATCCACCTTCACTTAGGATGAGGAAGCACCCACGGCAGCTTCCTTGTCCAAGAACTGTCATGTGTCTTTAGTGAAAGCGACCAGGCTTCCAGTTCTTTTGAAAGCCCGTCTGAAGAGCTCTCAGGAGTTGACCAGTGAATCAGGACATGGCAGGGACTCCCTGTGAGCTTCTTGTGCTCCTCCATGCTCACCCGGGCCCGGGAGCCAAGAGGGGGGCACCATGGGTCTTCAAGTAACAAGAGTACATTTGCCCCCTCTGGAGGCAAGGCGAGGGAGGGGCCCTTCCCCAAGAAGGGCCCCCAGCAGCATAACTCACCTGGAATGGGGGCCGGGACTGCTGGCTGGATGGGGTAGGCCTGCTGCACAAAGGGCTTGACGCTGGGAAGGAGGAGGACAAGGTCAGAAGCCAGTATGGCAGAGCTGGCTCCTATCAGGTCTGCCCGGGGCCTCCACAGCTACCCTAGGTTTCTAAATGGCACTGGCCTCTGCCTGCTGGTGGTCAGCAGTCCCTGGCAAAGCTCTCTTCAAGAGCCAGGACCCGGCGTGATTCGAGGAATCCAACCTCACGCAACTGCTCTGTGTGGGGATGTCTGCCTTTGGCCCTCTTGGCTCATCCTGGCAGAGGAGTAAGTAAGGTCAGCAGTCGCCATTTTCAACAAGGTTGGGGACATGCTTCAGGCAAATAGCTAGAGATCCTTTCTACAGATGGCAAGATTTCCTCTCTGCTCTTATTCCCCCAACGGCCATTGCTTCCAATTTGCTGAGCTTTTGCCTCCCTTGTACCCGAATCACCATAGGATTTCCGATTAGCTGGTCTCACCACAGGGGAAAGCAGGAGCTGACTTCCTGTTTCAGCTGGAGGATGCTAGAAACTCTCTCTCTCTCTGTAAGCTTGAAGGTGGAGTGAGCTGCTTACAGGGCTCCTGGCTCTGTGGGGTCTTCCTTGCTATCAGTCTCTTAGGAAGACCCCCTAAGAGGGGTCTCAAAAAAAGACAGCTCTGCAGATAACCAGGGCTAGGGGACTGGGTGAGCTCAGGTGAAACCTCCCTTCTCCTCCAAGCCAGAGGCAGTGTGGCTCCCAAGACTCTCCACCAGTTAGGCTTGCCAGCGACAGCCCCTTCTTGGACTTACTCTTGCGAGGATCCCGGCTGCCCTGTTTGTATCATTCCCGGCCAGAACTGGAAGGCAAAGTGCAAGAGGTTTCAGGTGCTGGGTTCTTGGCAAAGACCAGCTCAGAACTTCTAAGCATTGCCGCCCCTGCACCACGCCAGCAGATCCCCACTGCCCAACAGGCTGCCTGGTCTACCTTCTCCACCCATTAGACCTACATTCTGGGCCTGGCAATATAAGGCTCCCCTCAGCTTCTCTTTCTTGAAAGCCTCCAGGGCAGGGCCCAGGCATCCTTGGAGCACCTAGCGGAGATCTGGGCATCTGACCACATCACCACCCATCCCTCTCTCCCTCCCTCCCTAGGAAGCATCTCACAGGATGGAAGGCCCGTGGGGTAAAGGCAATGAGCTCAGCGAGGCAATGCAACCGTGTCTTTCACTGTGTGGCCTGGAGGCCTCGGGGGCTGCCAATCACCCAGCCAGAGGGCTAGCAAGGTGCGAGGGAGCAGTTGGGGCTGTGGGGCCGACAGGGCCTGAGTTTGATTCTGACTTTACCATCCTTGCAGCTCAACCCTCAGAAAGACGTACAGACAGCAGCTACAACAGCGGTCTACGCGGTAGAAGTGACTGGAGGAGGGTCCGGCTGGGGCAGGGTTTTGCTTCCATTGTATACAGAATCTCTATGGGTTGGAATCACTGTGAGTTGTTAGCGAGTCATCTCTGTTTCCTGGTCTGTAACGGACGTGGCGGTGCGAGGAAGAGGTATTTACTGTTATTCTGAGGAGCAGTGCCAGTAACAAACACGAACCTCTGGCTGGTGACCCACGATTACTCTGTCCCCCGGTAACTTCCTGAGGATACAGCGATCCAGGGAGGAGCAGAGGAGGGAGGGCCTGACCCAGACACACTGGAGGTGAGTCTTCACACTGTGTCTTCAGGGACTAAAGACTCCCCAGCTGCTGCTTCCTCCTCCTTGTGCCCCTCTCCTCTCTCTTCCCCTCATTCTGCCCCCCTCCTGGCATCACACAGTCTTCTCGCTCCGCATGATTCAGATCATGTTTGCAGGAGGTGCTGTGGGAAGGTTTACTGCTAGCCCCGCCCCCCAGCACAGCCCCAGCACGTCACTTACCCCCGGCGCCCCCGGGAAGGTGGGACGTGGAATCCCCGGCAGCCCCAGCTTGTTGTGGATGGCCGTGGCCGACACTATCTGTGCTGAGGACATGGCTGCCATGTGCTGCAGGGCCTTGTCCTTTGCAGTCTGATCCTTGAATGTGACAGCGACACACTGACTTAATACAGGAGGCATGACTACCGAGGACGTGCAACAGCACAGCCACGAGCACACAGACTAAAATATGGAGCCACATAAATAAAAAAAATAAAAAAAGGCCAAAACCAGCAAACATGCACTGATGAACGCATACAGCCGGAAGGCGAGGGCACAATCGGACGCTGCGGTGCTGCACCTGCAGTGGGGATGCCCGGCGGCAAGGTCTTTAAAACCATATCGTAACCGCGCTACCTGCAAAACGGGGAGCCTCTGGGAAGGAGCTACGTCTGTGTCTACTTTCAACTTCCAGAGGGAGATTTCGCCCTTGATTAGACCTGACGCACTTCGGGGGGAAATCAGGGGACCAGGTTTAAGTAGAGAGGGAAGAGGGGCGGGGAAAGAGATGGGGTGTGCACTAGGGTCAGTCCAGCCACAGAGCACTGGTAAACCCTATGAGGGGGTGCTGTCACATGGCCACAGTTCCAGGAGCTGCTGGGGTCACTTGAGGTCTGGAAGCCCTGCAAGGGGATGGTGGCTCAGAAGCAGCGGGTGGACTGCTGGACAGACGGACGGATGGGGCAGGAGGGCGGGCCAAGCGCATGCTGGCGGGCGCATGCTCAGTCTCCCCGCCGGGGGGTCTGCAGCTACACAGGCTCTTTCTAAAGCCATGGGCAGCGTAGAAGGTTCTACAGGCAAGAGTCTGACTCCCCTTTTCCTACATGGGACTGTTCTATAAAAGCCAAGGCTGGTCACACAATGCTAGCCAAAACGTCTGCCAAGCACAGCTAAAATACAGAATACTCTGTTTGGTGAAAATACTTACCATGCTGGTCACCTGGATACAATAATAAACAGTTTGTTAAAATGATTGTGTGCAGAGGCAGGGTTATTTTTCTTCCTCAGTTCAAGAGTACTTAGGTATACAAACACAATGCTTGGCTTCAGTAAAATAGCATGGTTCTTTCCCCCCCTTCCCCGCCCCCACGTGACAGGTGAGCAGGAGACCCGGAAAGAGTGGCCCAGAAGGGCAAGCGTCAAGAAAGGGCACCCAGTTAATTAATGATCAACACACTACCCCTGACCCTTTTGAATGGGTGCTATGGCTTCCCCACGTGCAGAGGGGAGATGATTCTATACCACCACCCTCCCCCGCACCCCACTACCTGCCCTGTGTGAGGTAGGCAGGCTCTGCTGGTCTGGGCAGGGGTTCGTGCCTGGCAGGTATGGAAAGGCTCCTGGGCTGATATAAGCGGGTCTCTGCCATCAGCCCAGCCTGGAAGCCGTCTTTTAACCAACCAGGAGTAAAATGGGGGTACCCAAACATGCCACCCTCCATCCCTGCTGCCACCGGGGAGTTTCAAGATGATTGAGGGCCATGGGAAGGTTCAGGCTTATGTAGGGAGGCGACTTTCAGGGTTCACAGAGTCAACCAGAGGTGATGAGTAAGCACACAGAGACACACCCAGGGCAAGATGGAATGAAGAAGTTAAAAAGAAACATCAAAGCCTACACCACCCAGCTATGAGGATGGGGACACCACTCTGGCCAGGGAGTACACGTGAACTTTCAGAAAGCCTGTGTTCGTCTGCCCGTGGAAAAAAGCTTCACAAACAAATGCGTGTTTACTGACGTTCCATAGAGTCCTCTGGCCTCCCTCCGAAAAGCACAGTGAGCGCCTCGTGACAAGCTCTGCAGGGACACACTGCATCATCATGAGCATCTGTGGCGGACAGGTGTGCCGCGCTGAGTGGACATTTAGAGGGTCCCTGAAAGGAGGGCACGGTCCCAGGAGGTTCCCCGGGTGATGGTCTTCTGTCTGTTAGCTCCTCCCCAGACAGCACTCCCGGAGTTGTGGCTCCCTTTGCTTCTGTATCGACTGCTCTAACCTAGAGCTAGCTTCCTCTGTCCCGTTTCTCTTTGGTTCTGAAGACATCTCAGGCTTTGAGGAGCTCAGAAAAACTCACATCTTGAGGTAGGTGATGGAAGTTTGGGGGGAGGGGATGTCAACATGTCCTTACGTTGAACTGAGTCCCAGGCATGTAGCCCACATAGTGTTAACTGGCCTGTGGTTGAACCAACACCGGCCAGTCCATCTCCTCAGAGGGCAATCCGTGTGTAATCCACAAAGCCTGGCTCCATTCACTCTTGGGCAAAGAGAGCATACCCCGGTGCATTAATATGAACTCATTGGTTTCTCTGTGGAGCCATCACTACAGCCCCCAAGCATGAAACCCCCCAAAAGGTGAGATTAGAAATGCTCTGGAGACGATTTCTCAAACTGGAGAAATGGCATGGGCCGGGCCAGGGGAGCCTTTCTCCTGTGGAAGCTGCCCTATAACTCCTCTAGGGCCCAGGCTGGGGAGCTTGGAAAATGGTGGCTGGGCCTTCTTGCTGGCTTCGCCGACTGGCTTCAGAGAGCACTACCACAGGAGACTGGTGGGCTCTGCCCCTGCAGAGGCCTCACCACTGAGCCGGGGCTCTGAGCTCAGGAAATACTGCTGACGGGGAAGGCCTGAGTCCCCCGGGCCAATACAGAGTGTATTTCTGTACATGGGTGAGGCGCTTCCTGGATCCAAACACCGGTGGTCCAATGCCACGTCTCTGCTTGCATCTCCGTCACCCACTCCATCCCGGGAGCGTGGCCCTCTGGAGGCTTACTGAAAATGCCCTCAATGTTTACGCCTGCCCAACTGCCTGTTTAACTATTAGTCAGCTGAGGCGAGGGAGAAGAGTAGCCATCTTGGCTTTTGATGTCACATAGCCTCAGAACTGGGATCCTTTTTCTGGTGTTCAATATGGCTTGGTTTCTCTTGTGACCCAGCATTCTACCAAGTACTTCAAGGACAACCAAAGCTCAAAAGTGGGAGGAGCAAAAACCATCTCTTCCATGTCATCCGTTTGCTGTGTGACAGTAAAAGGTCTCGGTGCTGGGCAGTCAGAGGAGCCAGGTCCAGCCTGCCCTGTCACTAACTAACGAGCTGCATTAACCTTGGGCAAATCCACACACACACACACACACACACACACACACACACACACACAAATTCTTTACCTACAAAAGAAAGTGGTTCCCTTTGTGGTCTAAAGCCAAGAGTACATTATGTGTAGCTAGTCAGAAGCAAAAAATACAAAAACATCTTAATAGATACAGCCTAGCTGCTGCCCTGCCCCCACATTCCCACCCCCCTACCTCCCCAAAAGAAAAGAAACCATAACACACACTAATGAGGAGAGAGCAAGATGTTAAAATTTGGGCAGCACTCAGCTAGCTGCCCATCCTAATAGAGAGAAAGCCAAGTGTGGAGAGGAAATTTTATCTCAAGTAGAAGTTCTGTCTGCACTTGACCTACCTATTTGAGAATAGGCAATTTTCTGCAAATGGACTAAGAAATATCTAGACCAGTGATTTCCTACCTTTTGTCCTGGCGACATTCTGACGACTCATTTAATTTCCTAACACCACCTCCTCCCCACCCCTTTATATATGATCTACATTTGCCATTTTTAAAAAGGGTAAGGGATATTTTGGTTTGAAATCTGAAGTAACCTTGGAGATAATAAAGCACCACCGGGGACAGATCTTGAAATCAGAACTGCAAGCTCGGCTGTAGATCCACTTATCTTGAAATGGGAGGACAGGAGGAGGCCGAGCTAAGAGATTTCAATGGCAGGGTCTCTAAATTGTCATTTCCAGCCCACGGATACACGCCTGGCTTTGCAGGGAAAGAATTATAACTCTAAATGTCAGGCCTGAGCAAATCGCTGCCCTGTGTCACTCTGCTCCCTATCCTTGGCCATCTGAACATTCCTGTCCATCCTCTGCTGCTCACCCCGGGACTGCAGGGGGGACCTCCTCTATCAGAATCACTGAAGCCCATGTAAACACCGATGTGGCCACACCTGTATGCCATTTAAGACGTGTCCCCAACACTTGTGAGGTGGGTGAAATGGACGAAGGATGAGCACATTAAACTTCTACCTTGAGAGTGTTGAGATCAATTTTATGCTTTACACTCTATGGGGAGGGTTATTGTTGTGTGCTGGTTCTGATTCACACAGACCCTACATGACAGAGCAGAACTGCCCCCATAGGGTTGCCAAAGCTATGAATCTTTCCGGAACCAGTAGTACATCTCCCTTATGCAGGGTGGCTATGGGTTTGAAAGGCCACTATTCCTGTTAGTAGACAGGTGTTTGACCACGGTGCCACCAGCTACAGGAAATACTCTAACGAGATATGCACAACAAAAATGTGTCCCAGACAGAAGCTGGGACCAGTTTGCACCAACTCTCATATTACTGACTCTCTCTCTCCATCCTTATGAAAGGAGGTGGGTGCTGAGAACAAATGGCGCCCCTGACTTGAAAGTAAAGATGATGAAGCACTCGAGCCCGGGGTGCACGTCTCATTACCCCACTTTCTTCAATATCCAATTGCTGGCGCGCCACTACTGTCAGTAGCTTCACTGAGCTAGCCACACACGGTGCAAGCCAGCTGTGTCACGCATAAGCTCCTCAACCTGAAGCCTTTCAAACTGTTATTGTTACTAGTAAACAGGCTTTCATATTTCATGAAGCAGAGCGGGCTGCTGCTACAACTCCCTGTTCCACTGACTGCCTCCTTTTTGTGGCTGAAAAGTACACACTGTTTGGAAAATGTCTACATGTAATATACATGACAGGAAGGCAGCAGTATTACAAATGCACAAGGCTCCAGGGCTTTTGTGAATCAGCTTCTGGATGTTTGGGGAGTCTTGCTCCTTTCTCTCTCAGCTCTCCCACCTTCTGATTATTCTGGAAAATCAATTACCTCATAATTTAGACATTCACCACACACACACACACACACACACACACACACACACACACACACACATTTTAAACATAATATAAAAAGGTAACATGCTTACATATACAGCATAATACAGCTGCCATATATAGAATTTTTATGACTGGCATACTAAATCAATTTATTCCAAACAGCTTATTCAGAGCCATCATTTCAGATCTAATATAAAAGACTCCCAACTAATTTATTCATATGAAAGGCTACAAATGTGCACCGGGAAAAATATGTAAAGTCAAAAGAAGAAGAAGAAAAAAGGGGGGGGGGGAAATGACCAAGGATTCAAAACCTCCTGATAGCTATTAAATGCCTTCCTTCAAATCTACTTTCCCCCGCAATATAAAAATATAAGTGCAGGCAAGGAAAGACAGTAATTTGCTTGCAAAATCACTTTTTCAGAAAAAGACACAAAACACAAAATAGTTTCCCAAGAAGTCATTTTTCAGATGTTGTTTCTAATCTTGCACTATGCAGCTTCACATGCCCTTTGCAATGATTAGCTGTAGCCCCTGAGAAGATAAACATCGCAAAACTATAGGAAGGCTTTAGAGAAAGGCTGGAGGGCCCTTGAATTTTTCTAGCCATGATCTCTAATTTACTTATTATTAGAGAAGGCAGGAGTAAACACAAAAGGGGCCATTTCAGTCTGGCAACAGCTAATGTCGAGGCGAGAAGGCACATTCATACTTCGCCTGACTTGCTGTCTAATGAGTAGTAATTAATTCATCCTATTGTATCTCCAAATGCCAAAGGCTCCATTCACATCAAAGGGGGGGAGAAAAACTCAAGGCTTTTACCATTGTTCATTTTTAAAGGTACTGAGCTATATTTAGTATTTTATAATTGTCAACAGCTTTTTCTTCCATTCTGGTGTGGGCCTTAGCATCATAAAGGGCTGTTTGCAGCTGAGAATCCATGTGACATCTTGGTGTGCAGGATCAACTCCCTACCAGGGATTCAGTTCAGCGCTGCCTGGCTGTCGATTAGGT